GCTCTACCCGAAGTTATGGCTCGTGTTGAATATCAAGACATAGACTATTTTCTTCAATTGGCACAATATTATAACGAGGATCTCATTCGTGTATTCTATTCCGGGATACACAAACAAGACAGTGCAAGCTTCAAATTCTCCATGGGTAACAAAGTGTATCATTTCACAACTGAAATGTGGAATATCTTGTTTGGCATTACATTTGTGATCCAGACATTGATAAATAATTTGATGAAGAAGTGACTGATAAATTGGTTACCGACTCGGATAAGAATAAAGATTTCAATTTGAGTGTTCACTTGAATGAGATATTTAAGACTCCTCGTGCTATAAACTGCTACGACCCTATTTCCACGAGTCAATTCAAGATGTTGCCTCGAATTTTGTTGTGAGTTATGTCTCATGTCTTGCGTCTGAAAAATGGTGGATTTTCAATGGTTGACTTTGCTTTTTCATCATTATTTTTTCGAATAATGATTCTATTAAAAAATTAAAAGCTAAGGACAATGATGTTTTCGAGCATTTGACACTTGAATTCTTAAGCTATTTGAAAACTTCATAATTGCCAAATTATTCTGTGGAACTAAATATTGACACAACAATAATGTTGATAAGGAATTTGGATCAATCTGAAAGACTTTTTAATGGTACAAGATTGATGGTTACTAGGCTAGTAAATCATGTCATCGAAGTAAAGATCATCTCAGGTACCCATATTGGAAATACTATTTATATCCCAAAAATGTATTGGTTTCTTTCTCAATCTCCTTGGTCCTTCAATCTTATCTGAAGACAATTCTCCATTGTTGTCTCATTTGCAATGACAATTAACAAATCTCAAGGTTAATCATTAGACTTTTTTGGTTTATATTTTCCAAAAGATGTGTTTAGTGTAATACCCTGTATTTCTTTAAATGCTCTAAATAATATTAGTTGAGATCAACTGGGTTCCAGTGTGCTCTGAGAATTATCTGTTGAGATAATTAGAGTACCTGATGAACTCAGAGTTGATTTAATTAATATCATCTGACTCAGAGGTTTTATTAATTGGTACAAAAGAGACATTTTGGATACTCTTAAAATTGGACATTTACCAAGTTAGTCTTACTAATTTTTATTGGAACAAAATATCATTTTATTTTATTTTATTTATCTTTCCAACTTTGTGGGACAAGTAGTAGAAATATAAGGAAAAGAAAAACATAGTAAGAGTATAGAGAAAGAGGAAATAGAAAGAAAGAAGAGGAAAATGGAAAAAAAAGGAAGAAACCCTAAGAATAAGAAGAAGAATGAGCTCATCCATCATCTAATTTTCATCATTCCAACATCTTCATCTTGTTTTTAGAGGTACGTTCTAGGTATATGCTTTAAGATTACAGTTGATAGATAGAAATGATAAATATTAGGTTTTGATATGTGTTGATTCTAATATCATGAAATCTATGTGAATTTGATACTAACCATTTTTATTGTGTTGCTTTATGGTTGTAATTGCTATTGGCATGTTGATTTTGAGTTGGTTTGAGGTGGGTATTGGAAACCCCTTTGAAATGGACACTTTTTGCATGTCAGAAGTTCTGGAACGCAGACCTCGCACAGCGATCCTCCAGCGAGGTGAAGGCGAGACCTTGCCTTGTGGTTTCACAGCATTCAATGAGATATTTCGCTATTGCCTTTGATTTTCCATATTTTGCTTAGGCCTCGCACAATAAAGTGCATGTAAGGTGAACTTTCCTAGAGCTTGCACAGCGAGCCTGGCAGTTTTGATCACTTTGTTTTATTGATTGCTTGGTTTCTTCCTATGCATGTCCATTGGTATCATGAATTGTTCTACCTTGATTATTATGTATGTTTACCATGAATGATCGGTGAATCGTAAATTGTATTAATATATTAGAAAATTGTAAAGGAATGTGAAGAAAACCTTTAATGGAGGTTAATGATGTGAGCTAGTAGGGTGACTAGCATATGTTAGATGACTTAGATGACAACACTTGTGCATTTGATGCCTAGGTGTGCATCCTTGTTAAATAGTTTTCTAGTGGAAAGGTAAGAAATTATATGGAACATGTATTGGTTTGTGTTACATTGAGAATAAGGTGAATGTGTTGCCTTATGATTGTCGAATACAATCATATTTGCATTGTGATCACGTAGTCAAAAACATCTCTTGAGATGTGTCGTTACAAGAGTCAAGGCTTATGCAGAGCGCTCCACTAGAATGTACACACTATTACTTTGACAGGTTTGATTCCTGTGTGTAGTACGAATGAAGCATATGGGTAAAATGCTTGAGATGAGAAGGGTCCTATGGGAAGCGACGATCCATGGAAATCCAAATCTATTTCGTGATAGTTTGAGTTGTTGGACTCAAGCAACACATTTCCATATAATGTGTATTTTATGAACTCAAGTATTATCCATTCCCTTTTGACTTGAGGTAGGATTCAGTTAAAACCTTGTAAATTCGAGAGAACCCATAATATAGGGAACCCACTGGAATTATTATCTCACTCCATGTTGTTGAATGTTTTTTAGGTGGTTCCGGTTCTGTGAAGGGTAAGGATAAGGTCGTTTGATATCCTTACTTGCCTTGACTTTTTGGGATAACATTTCCCTTGCGAGTACTCTATTTTGAGATCATTAGATATGATCTAGTTCTTAGTCTTTTGGACATCTTGGGTATATTATGCCTTTGTTTTAGACTTTTAGTGTTTTGACATGTAATATATACAATGTGTTTCTAGAAACTTATGTGTATTTCAATACCAAACTAACAAACATGTATAATATGTATCTTCTAGACATATGTATTTATATATGGGTGTTACATTTAGTCACATAAAACTCTATGTCACAATGTTAAGAGTCAAAACCAAAGCTGGTATGAGAATATTAATTCATGATAAAGACAATAATTCATTATCTCAAATAACTAATGTGATTTTCAAATAAGTTTTTCGTAATGGTATCTAGGTATTTAAATATTTTATGTTTTTTCCTAGTTTTTGTTTCTTTCAATTTTTATAATTTTAACTCATACTTCTATTTGCAAATATATTTATATTGGTTCATTCAGGAGATATTTACTATCTTATTTCCTATCCTGTCTTTAATATATTTGAAAATATATCCCTATTGACTTTTTCATTATCCATTTTTTAGGCTTTGAACAATTGAATACTACTTTGTGTCCCATAATTATTGAGTTATCATGTACTTCTATATAACAATTACAAATGCAATTCAGTTGAAAATGTATAACAAATTTGGAAATTTTCTTCTCTGTTGGAGTGTAATATGTCTATGCTATGTTATGATTTACAATTCTACTTTAACTATAATTTCATTACAAATGGATAATTTAATATATAAGTGTTTTTTTCCGTGCGGACATAGATATTTTTTTAGTTAAAAATAAAAATATTAGAAAGAATGTTGAGATATTGTCTATAATAGATAGATGGTAAAAAATAAACTTAAATGGTTTGAATGTGTAAAAGAGAAAACGTTTATAAATTAATAATTTTTATAAAAAATGATAAAAATCTTTGTATATTTCATGGACAAGGTAATCCTTAGAGCCTTTAAGACAAGTTACATTTCCGTGTAACAAACTGTATGTCGTAACCTATCTATAAAACTCACCGTAACGAAACAAAGAAAAAGCTAAAACCACAATAAATTATGAAAGAAAAAAAAAAGATGATGACAATGTGACATCATATCCTGTCGGAGAAGAAGGGCACGTAGGTAGCTCCCATAAATGTAGACAGATTTATTTATTAATTCGTCCGAAATCAACTCTATGTTTTCATTTTTACATTGTTCCCCCCTTCCCCCTCCCTCCCTTTACAATTCTTCATTTCTCATTTTAGCACAGACACATTACTTTTTCCTTTTTCCACCAACCATATTATTCTTCCCCCCCCCTCTCTCTCTCTCTCTCTTCTTTTCACTTGTATCACTTTCTTTTCTCTCCTTACACTCTTTGCTATATATGGTACCTCTACACCTACTCCACTTTGCTTTTCATCTTTCCTCTTTCATCTTTTTTTACATCTCCTCTATCATTTTTTTTATATTCTAAATCCTTATATTTTATTTAATATTTTTTATAAGAAAAAAAAGTAGAGAAATGGATTATTATTTATATGGTTATATAGCTGGTTAAAGTATATTTAAAGTGAAATGTGTGATCAGAATCATATATGTACATATGTTAATTATGCAATGGCAACTGTTTAAAGTAAACACCTATTTTCTGCCACATTGGTTATTCATGACCACATCCTTATCTTCTCCTCAAAAACAATAAAATATAATAATTGCACTAGACTATATAACAATTTTATAGAATTTAGAAAATTTATCAAATAATAAACGTTGAAAAAATAAAATACTTACTATTATTATATCATATTAATGTGGTCCAAATATAACAGAAAAGACGTGTCTTTACAAAAGTCCATATCAACATTATATTTTGAAACAATTTTTTATATATTTATGTTATATTTCTCTCCTTTTGATTTAACATACATGATTTTTTAGTATATTTTTATATACATATTGGCAATATTTAACACTCATTTTCTTAAAAATTTATTAACTATATTTTAAATTCTTTTAAGAATTAATATGTGGCATTGTGTGCCAGAAGTGAGTTAAAAAAAAATTATTATAATTATCTTTTTTTTGTTAAATTTATTATTATTATTATTATTATTATTATTATTATTATTATTATTATTATTATTATTATTATTATTATTATTATTATTATTATTATTATATTAAATTAAATATAAATGCAATAAGTAAATATATAAAGTGACTTATCTTGGTTATTATTATTCCTGGGTGAAAGTGTGAAACATAACTTATGTAGATCTTCATTCTCCTCTCTCTCAATTTCTCAAACACTTAACTATAGATAAATAAATAAAAAAATTAAAAAAATTAATTAATTGAGAAATTATTTGTCTTTGAAGAGTGAAATGGAGTTTGATGAACAAGAGGAACATGAAGAGGAGATGGAGATTCCGGAAACACCGATGCCGGTGCCGGCGTGTTATGACTCACTCGGAAACTCAGCTTCACGATCAAAAATCTCCGGTGGAGTTGACGGACGGAAAGGTAGCGGTAACGGTAACGGTGGTGGTTTTTCCTCAACGGTGAGGTATAGAGAATGTCAGAAGAATCACGCTGTCAGCTTCGGTGGCCACGCCGTTGACGGTTGCTGCGAGTTCATTTCCGCCGGTGAAGAAGGAACACTTGAAGCTGTGATTTGCGCTGCTTGTAACTGTCACCGGAACTTCCACCGCAAAGAGATCGACGGAGAAACTGTTAGTTCGTGTCAGCGGCAGCAACCTCCACCACCGCCGCAACCATACCACCAATTTCCACCTTACTACCACCGAGGTCCTCCTTCTACCTCCGGATACCTCCACCACCACCTAGCAACTCCGGTGGCGCATCACAGACCTTTGGCTCTCCCGGCTTCTGCTTCTGGCGGCGGATTCAGTAGAGAAGAAGATGATATTTCAAACCCTAGCAGCAGCGGCGGTGGAGGAAACGGTTCCGGTGGATCAAAGAAGAGATTCAGAACAAAATTCACACAGGAACAGAAAGAGAAACTCTTAGCTTTTGCTGAAGAACATGGTTGGAGAATTCAGAAACAAGATGAAGCTGCTATAGAACAGTTTTGTGCTGAGAATTGTGTGAAGAGAAATGTTCTTAAAGTTTGGATGCACAATAACAAGAACACTCTTGGTAAGAAACCCTAATTTGTGTTCTATATTATTCTAAATTTCTAATTATTATTATTAAGCAATTTTGATCTCTCTAGAGAGAGTGATTTGTGTGAAGAATAAAATAAGAAGAAAAAAAAGAAAACAAAAAATGTAGTATGAGATTTTTATGTACAAGATCAAGCTAGCTAGCTAGTTAGGGTTCTTATTCTTCTTGTAAGTTCTTCATTTGGTTAATTAATTAAATAATTTTGTTTAGTTTATTCTATGGAACTTTAGTGAATTTTGTTATTATTTGAGAAACTAAGCTGGAAATTATCTCATTTCTAGTTTTGTAGTTAAGTGTTGATGTACTATATAGGTAAGACATGAAGTAGTTTTATTAATGTAAATTAATTATGTTTTATATGTAGGCAAAGAGAGACCTAATGTAAATTTTAACTAAAATGGTTGATGTTCATATTACTAACTTGAACATCATCTTCAAAATTTGAAATTTATTGTTGTATTATTGTACATTTTTAACTAAAATGGTTGATGTTCATATTACTAACTCATCTTCAAAATTTGAAATTTATAATTGTATTATTATACATCTGAGTATTAGAATTTGAACTCGGTGAATTTTTAATGATTATTATGGAATTGTGGATAAATCACAAAAGAGAGACCTAATAAAGACAAAAGAACCTAGTTTTTGGGAAAACATGACTAGTGTTTTCATCATTCATCATTATGTGTCTGAACAATTATGAAACTCATTACAAGAGTTTCAGCAAGTAATGGAAATTATGAGACAATGTGAAAAAGGACACCACTCCAAAATTAGAATTAAATGAACGATTAATATGGTAACCAAGGTAATTTATTCTCTCCTTTTCCACTTAGTGATTTAATTGACCATTTCACATATATTAAGTAAAAAATAAATGAAAGAAAAAAAATAATATTTTATTAAATTTTTTTTATCAAATATTAAAAATGATAAAAATAATATTAATTAAATAGTAGAATTAAAAAAAATATATTAAAAATTAAAATATATCATTTATTTTGAGATATTTATTTATTCTAAATAAATCACTCGTTATAATATGGAGAAAGTATTATACATGCACATGTAATATCAAACTTTAATTTTTTTTTAACAATAATTGTTACTATTATTGAATTTATTTTTAAAATAAATTATATTCTAAAGAATTTTATGTGAAAAATAATAAGCTGAAACTTTAACGTGTGAAAGGCATGCAAAGGCAGAGCTATTCATAACAATGTTTCATTAAATTAACTTGATTCAATTAATTACGGAGATATCAGATTATTGAAATAATTGAAATAATAAGTGAAATGTTGAATAATAAGTGGAATGTTGTATATTCGAACATGTGAATTTATTATGATCAAATGAGTTAGCTTAAACTAGACTAACTATAATTGTTTTGATAAGGATGAATATAGTTTTTACAATTTGCTTCCCATATAGAAACATCTTCGACATTAATTCAAGTTGAACTTGTTTTTTTTCAAACAAGGTGAATAATTGAGAGCATAAAAGTACTTGAACACCGTATGAGGATTTGCTTAATCGATTTTAGTTGGTTTGTATTTCATTTTTGTTAAAGTGTACTCTAGAATAAGTTAAAAAAAAGCTGTTGAAATGTTTGGTTGAAATTGAATAATGTGATGTAGCATAGCATACCATTCTGGTATATGTTTTGGGAAGTGCGGTGGAAAAGTAATAATGCAAAGAACAAAATAAACTGAGAGTGAGTGAGTGAGTGGGTATTCACGCGGCAATATCGTACACTGTTTCACTGTCTAGTCGCAGAAGACAGCCTTGCATTTCAGAACACTGCAGAATACAATGAAGTTTTTTTCATACAAATTATTAAAAAATCTTTTATCGTGTGAAAAATATTAGGATGAAGAACACTGAAGTTTATTTTTATCGTGTTAAAAACATCTTGATGAAGAAAGTGAATGATTGGTCTTTAAGGGATAGGATATAAACAGAATAATATCTAATGAAAATTATGCCAACGGGAATATGGTAAGTCAAGACAGATTATTTTAATAAAAAAATTTAGATTTTTTTTTTAAATTTTATTATTATTGTTGTATTATATTTTATGTTTTAAGTTAAAATACAAAATTAAAATTCAGTTATTTTTAAGAACCAATAAAAATACATTGAAAAAACTTATAAATGGCATAAGTTTGTTTTCGTAAGTTTTTTAAAAATAATATTATAAAGCATAAAATATATGATGTTAGCTAACTTCGAATAAGTAAATGGGAATAAATATTTAATTTTATTGATCTTTTAATTTGTTAATATTTAATATATATATATATATATATATATATATATATATATATATATATATATATATATATATATATATATATATATATATATATATATATATATATATATATATATATATATATATATATATATATATATATATATATATATATATATATATATTCAAATAAAATAAGCTAACTAGATTTTTGAAAATGTTAAACTTATGTTTGAAAATTAGATTATAACAGAGTAAAAGTCTGACTTATGATTTGAATATTTAGATAACTTTCCGCAACACCATGTATAAGGGACCTTGAAAATATGTTGCTCACAGATCCAGACATGGGTGTTACATCAAGTATGTCTTCATCACCCACTAAACCGGGTTCATCAATACTAAGAACATTAGGAAGCCTAATATTCCTAGGGATGGAGTTTATTGAAGTATTTTTTAGCATCATTAGAAATTTATCTTTCAGATGGAAAACAAATTTTCATTTGGCAATACTGTCTTCAGAGTGAAAAGAGACATTATCTAAAGCAACAACAAGGATATTTTTAGACAGTTTCTTACCTCTTTGAAGTAGGTTCGTTCGTAACGTCTTCCAAAATATCATTAACACCCTCTTTAATATTCTACTTCTCAGAGAGAGAAATAGCCTTCTTTCTTTTTACTGCCACGTTTTTCTTTATTGCAATTGGTTTCTTTTTTGGAGTAACTTTCTTCTTTTTCTCATCAGATTTCTTATTCTTCTCAATCAAAACAATAGACTTGTTCTTCTCTCAACAAAACCATTTTGTTGAGGGTGTTATTTAGGCATAAATCTAATGAGATATTTCTACAATGGTTCTCAAATTCTCTGTTGTGATCAATGTCAACAGGATTTTAAATTGTGGTTGCAGATGCGGATGTTGCGGTTACGGCCAAAGTAGTCACTGTGTTGCGTGTTGCGGCTGTTGTTATGTGAAATTATTTTATACACACATTAAATATAAAAAAATTGTAAAATTATAGTAATTATTTATGTTTCTTATTTTTATAATTGTGCCTTAGTTTTAATTCAGCGAAAGTAATTTTTTAAGTACATAATACAAATTACAATTTATTTAAAATAAAAAGGACTATTGACACAAACATATTAATGTTCTATATTGCAATCTCGATGGTGAAAAATAGGGCCACACAAAAATGTCTTCATTGCAAAAAAAACAAAATAAAACAAAAAGATGATGAAACTCCTAATTAGTACATTTAAATTGCATCTAAAATTAAGACTTTTCACATATATACTTAACTAATTATAAAGTCAAATGTTTGAAAATATAACTTACGTGCATCTTGCTACCATATAGTGGAATGAAGTGAAGGAGCATAATTTGTGCTTTCACTCTGACTATCATCTTGTGTAGCTCCTTGTCCAAAGACATAACCAAAAAAATTACCATTTGATTGTTGATGATAAGGGTTGTGACCATTCATTGATTGTTGGTAGTACGTAGGAGCTTGATCACTAGGATATTGATTATAAGAGTTGAAATATTATATTGATAAACAGGTGGATGAGATTGTTGATTATCTTGTGATGAATCGCCAATCCCAAAATCACTAAAACTATGAACAATACTAGAAGAGGAAGAATCTTCAAGTTGAACATTTTGTTTTCTTTTTCCCTTTTTACTAGATTGTGACACATTTCATCTTGTTTCAAGTAGTGAGGTGTCAGAATGATCCATATTAGCCAAGCTCCTATAACACCTATAATTTGATGGTGTTTCATGATATGGATCAAGTTCATCATCTTCTCCATCATCACCGCTTCCACTTTCACCATCACCTTCACTTTCATTATACACTTCGTTACCACCCCCATCACCATTATTACTGCTTGGTGGACTTAAACCACCACCACTTTTATTAGATTCACTATTATCATCAATATTTTCATCATCTGTATCAACTATCGGCAACCATTTTGGATTTTGAACTCCATCCAATAATGGATTTTCCCTCTCTTCTATACAATGAGATAACAGATCTTCTTGAAATATATAGTCAAGATTTATTGAATCCAATTTGCTTCTATTTCTTCCTTACTCTTCCTTAATTTATCCCTCATTCTCAACTTCACATTGTAATGTGTGAAGACAAGCTTATGCAATTTTTTGTACTTCAATCTATTTCTTGTCTTTGTGTGAGTATAGCTAAATATACTCCAATTTTTCTCATAGTTTGTGGCAGAGGTAGTTTGACTAACAACTTTCATAGCCAAACGTTGAAGTTCAGGAGCACATGAACCATGGTATTCCCACCATTGAGTTTTTTAAAGAAGAAAAAAAAAATTACTGGTTATAATAAAAAATAAAGTATATTTATAAAAACTTATAAAAAAACTTGTATTTTACTTGCATCCATCTTAGACCAAGATTTTTGAGCTAGAGGCGTACCAAACATTTCACTCTTTTCTCTAAAAAGTGTTAGCTATATAACAAAACATATCAGTACATAAAAAAAATTCTTAATAAATAATTTATCATATGAAAATATAATATCCATTAATTACTTGATTTAGAACTTTGATTTGATCATCCATGTTTCTTTCTATCTTCATGATTATATTAGTTGTTCCATTAAATGTTTCTTTATACACATCTTTTCCATGTTCAATTCCATATTGAAATTGTGGATTAAGAAAATAACCTAGAAGTCAAAATCAATTATTGA